GATAATCAAAGATGAATTGAAGTTTCAAGCACAATGCAAATAATTCTTAATGGTTAAAATTAATTTTTTCTCTTAATGCACCAATGACTCGATCCCATCTTTCAAATCCTATTAAAAGTAAATAAAATTTAAAATGAATATTACTAAGATTGATTAGAAACATTCATAATTAAAATTTATAACTCTTTAATTAAATATCCTAGAATAATAAAATATCAAAATTAGTTCTGTTTAAATATTGCATTACAAATTTGGCAAACGATGCTACAATTATAAATAAGGTTAAATGTTGATTTTGGTCCCTCAATTTTATAGTATTGTATAATTTTTATCCATCAACTATTTTTTGGACTTTTTTAATCTTTCAACTCTAAAAACTATACAATTTTAATCCTTTCGTCAATTAGACCATTAAATCAATCCATGTGGCATTTTTTTTATTTGTTTTAATGACATGGATAAATAATGTGTCCTTATTAATCCTATCTGAAAAATTAAGGGACTCACTTACCTAATTAATTATTTATTAAATTAAAATATTTTTTAAATGACAAATTTACCCCTTACTCCATCTTCTACCTTTGGTCTCCTCTTTGTTTCCGTAATTCATCTTCCCCTTTTTACTAGCCTGCCCTTCTCCATTCTCCAATGCTCTCTTTCTCTTCCTCCTTCTCTGTCTCAATACTTCAACCTAACTTCTCCTTTCTCTTTTTGTATTCATCAACCTCCCAACTCTAGTGCCTTTCTTCGTTCCTTTTCTAATGCCCTTCTTCTTCGTCTCTCTCTCCTACTTCTTTATTCCTTCTACGATTTCTCTTCCTGTCTTGCCCTTTCTTCCCTCTCTTTCTTCTCTTCCATGCAAACCCTAGTTCTAATCTGGGTCCAATCAAACCCAACAATCTAGGTTCATTTGAAATCCAGATGCTGGGTTTGTCGTGGAATCCAACGATCTAGGTTCCTTTGAGCCCAGTTCTGAGTTTCATGGAACCCAGTGATCTGGGTTCAAATGAACCCAGTTCTGGGTTTCGTGGAACCTAGGGATCTAGGTTATGTGGAACCCAGCAACATGGATTAAAGGAACTCAAATTCCTAGGTTTTCAAAACCATATTTATAGATTTTTTTTTTCTAGCAATTTCTATACATATATTGAAACCTTTTGTTTGATGGATTTTTGTTTCAAATATTGTGGTTGTGAGATGGCAATTTAGTATTATGAATGTTGCAGAATTTTGTTTATATGTTTGGGTTTGGTTGTTTCTCTTGTGATTATGTGAACATTAAGCTGGATTGTAGTATGAATTTTCTAGGTTTTGGTTTGGTTATATTGCAGGCTTAATCGTCAGGGTCGAAGAAGAAATTTCCTAGAGAGCACTTTATTAAATAAATTTTGGTTTTGTTAGATTTTGTTTTGGTTTTGTGCAATCAAAGGATTATGTTTGTTTGGTGCAGTGTACTTATAATTAATAATTTTAATTGTATAAGTTAATGAGTATTTTTTTCCAGCTGTATAAGTTTTAATACCAAGTAACCATTTTTTTCAATTGGATTGTTCGTGTTATTAGAAAAAATTTAAAAAATGCCTAGGATGAGTTAACGGACTACTCAAAATTGTACAATTTTTAAAGTTAAGAAATTAGAAAAATATAAAAAATAATTGAGAGATTAAAATTATGTAATAATATAAAGTTGAAGGACCAAATTAACATTTAACCTATAAATAAAGGTCAAGAAGTGAAGGCTAGTGACCGCGTTGAATGCTGCCAAATCGTTCATTTCAAATTCTAGAAAAGATTAATTAAAAAGTAGTAACTAATTTATCATATCTTCAAATACTCAAACAGCAACAGCAGTAGCAAGAAAACATTATCAAGCATGTGATGAAATTGCTTTAACAAAAGCAAAACCCATGTTATAGTTCTGTATCTTGCTTTTGTTACCTTAATGACATGACTGCTAGTAGATTATCCACTCTATTCTTTAGATTCTCATAAAGATTAAAAGAACAACCACACAAATCATCATCATCTACTAACGAGTCACTTGGAACAAAAACGCACAGAAGTGATTTGCTTAGATTATTGTTTTCATTGAAATAAACTAACCTACCACATAACATAAACATACCCACAGCACAGAGAAATCAATAAAGAAAAGATATGATGTTAATTTTAGTTGGCATGTTCTTTTCATATAGTTAAGCTTTTTGATAAATATATATTATAACATGCACTTGTTTTTCAGGACGCAAAAAAAAAAAAAAAATGAAGCCATTATTTACAGTGATGTGAAGCATCATGAGCATGGCCACGCATTTATCTAGAATTTTGGAAACAAACAGAGTTGTTCTCCATCTATAGACCTAGAGGTCTCAAAAATATCTAAGGCCTCCTCATGTATTTCGTGCTGAAAATCTTTGAGTAATAGTTTCTAATTCAGGAATTTCATGAGAAGCTGTTAAAGTTGCAAATAATGGAGGGAAAGCATCTTTGTTGAAAAACAATATAATGATT